TGGAGTTTAACCTAATTTCTTTAGATGTGTTCTTGTCAAGCTGAAAACTCTCGGTGCTTTCTAGTATTGTCAAAATCGCATTTTTGAACGTAAAATCATAAAATTTACAGATCAATGTTAAAGGATTTACGCTAAACCACTCTAAAAAATGTAATTTTATAAACTCATAATGAAATCGAAGTAAAATTGTAGAATCATATAAACTTAAATAAATTCAAATGTTTACCCTTTTTTTTAACAATTGGACATCTTTTAGTAAGCATTGAGCCATTTCACCTTGGGCTTTGGCTAAATCTGAGCTAGATGGCCTAGACTTATTCTAAATACTTAATTTAAAGCACAGGAGAAAAGACTACAACCAACTTCAAACATTGATGTCTAAATTTGATCTTATCTTTCTTCAAGGCCTGCCTTCAAAAGACTATCACTCGCTAACTCTTTATCTCTTCAATTGAGGTATGCTCCCTCTTGGCACTTGAGTCTTTTACTCTTTAGTTTTAAATCTTAATTTCTCTCCTCCCTTTTTCATTTCGTACATGTTTGTTTGTTTGTAATTTTTTTAGTAAGTTAGGATTTAGTGCTAGTAATTGAAAATTAGGGTTTCTAAAGGAAACTTATATATGGTTCAATGGGAAATTCTACACTTAGATATGGGGTTCGATCCCATGAAGAAGGAGAAGGTGGAGGAGGGTAGAAGAAGAAGGAGAACGTGCAGGGGTGGAGGAAAGAGGTGAAAGAAGGTGGAAAGGGTGAAGGAGAGAGGTGGAAGAAGAAAAAGTTAATTTCATTTTTTAAAATTGCAATTGATGCAAGGCCCACATGGCACATGGTCATTTTTATACTAAAATGGCACTGGCGAAGCATAACTTAACAAAGAAATGAGCAAACATGTTTCTCACATTACTTTCATTGTTAATTATTGGGTTTTTTATCTGGAAGACATAATGTTTAGGGGGCCAAAATTCTTATATTGTATGTTGAAATGTTAAAAGCCTCAAAGACAATAAGTTTAAGGGCATCGAGTTGAGTTTTTTCCACTATATTGGTCCAACTTGGACCATTTTCCCTCTAGTGTAGCAATGACATTGTGCTAAGTAAGCATGGGTTAATGGGTTAGGAATGAACATGACTAGTTGCCATTAATTTTGGGCCAATAGATCAAGTGACATGTAGTTTAAGGGCTAAATAATTGTATGTTGAGGGGCTAAAACCCTTGATAATAACAAGTTGGAGGGGGGCATAGGGGGTTAAGCCAAAATGGGAATGCTCATAGAAATAGACTAGATACTGGGTGAGAGCATGGGATTGATGTTAAAAAGAATTCCAGAAAGGTCAAATGCAACTATTATGGTAAGACTTTTATTGGAGAAATTTATAGATTTAAACATCATTTGTCTAACACTAGGTAAAATTGTCAAGCATGTATTAGTGTACCTGAAGATATCAGGCATTTTATGTTAGGTATTTTGGCTAGGATGGAGATTGAATTTTGCAAAGAGAGAGAGAGAGAGAGTTCAACATTTTGATTAGTTTTTGATTGACTTACTTCAAATTATTGTAAGTTTAGAATTTAGATGACTTAAGGTTTGAGTATGGAATTTCATAATTTTGCATTAGTCATGGGGGATGATTATAACAAATCGGTTTGGAACTTTGAAATGGGACATGCCAATCTCAACTCAACAAATTACTTTTCTTCATTGTTTAGATTTTGTTCTTAAAAAAAAAAAAGGAAAAATAAATCAGAATTATACAATATTTAGATATCGGATTGAAATGGAAACAGAGAGATTAAAGATAAATTCTAATTAATATCAAAACACCAGATACACTACATTATTATTCAATCCCTCAAAGTCTGTCTCTTCCACCTTCGAAAAAGAAAATAACTACCATTTTCAGCCATTTTTCTTTTACAGTGCAGAAACAATGGTTTTAGAAGGCTGCTCCTTTAACATGCTATCCAGCTCCCCGATAAACCTTTCCATAGCTGGAGCCGGCAGGCAAAGTGGAACCACAATACCATTCTCTCCCTTCTTGTTCTTGAAGGGTATGTAAAAGCTAGCCACACCTGGAATCGCCCCCACTCCACCTTTAGCAGGCCCACCATATGCAGGTTTTCCCCATCCAAAGTCAACATCTACGAATCCAGCTCGTGTGACATCTGACACCAGGTAGGACCGCACTACGGTAAAGTGAGGCCGCCCCTTAATCACCATCATATCCGCCACTGATTTCATGTACTCTTCTGTTACGTCTGCCTTAGCCCTTCTCACTAGATCCAATGCATATCCAAAAGGGTTTGCACAGAGTTTAGCTGCCGTGGTTAGAGCCACCGGGAATGCAAATCCGTTCCCATAAAATCCCACTGGCAATGGAGGATTGAATTTTGAACGTGCGTTGACAATACATATGATCCGCATCTCTTCGTTAGGGTCAGGTTGCAAGGCTATGGTGCGGCACCGCCACAAGCAAGCAGTCAACACTTCGAAGGTTGAACACCCTCGAAGGTGGAGGGGAACGAATCTTCGTATGGCTGCTATTTCCGCAGGGCCAAAGAAGAAAGAGCGGTGGGCCATGTCATCAAGTGGGATGATAGTGCCTTTGGTGTCAGCAACCTCATCATACTCATGGTGAGTGCATGTCACACGTGGAGGGTAACGAGCATTAAGGTGGTGTCTTTCCCAAACAGGTGGAATTGAGGGGGCAAGGCAGCCTCGTGCCATCTCAGCCACGGCCCCCATGAACTGAACTAGAGCTGCAGCGTCGCTCATTGTGTGGTTGAGGCGAAGAGCAAAGATGAAGCCACCACATTTCAGTCTTGTTACCTATTATTAAAGTAGGAAAAAAAAAAGGGGGGGGGATTTTTACTTTTGATTTTCATTTGTTTGCCTTTTTTTTCCTTAATTGTATATCTACATGGATTTAATGGTGTCAAATTATTATTATTCATTCATTAAAAATTCTTAATTTAATGTTAAAAGAATATTTTTTTAGTTTAGACTATATAAAAAAAAATACAGCTTGGCTATCAATATCATAATATTTTGATGAAATTCGTTTTTGTGTTTACTTATTAAAAGTATTTTAAATACTTTTAATATTCAAATTATATTTTTAATATACAATCTAAATTTAAAAAGAAAAGAAGTTATGGTTAGAGTACAAATCTCTACGTAACCCTCGATGTATTAAAAAAATTTGTAAAGAAAATATCAATATTATTAAT